TTACAAGAAAAGTGCAAATTTCAAGTGCTTTTAAGGAAACTTTTAACCCATAACATATTGAATTTGTTACGAATTCGTAATTTTTTCGTTTGTTTCTTTTTCCCATATATATAGATATTGTAAAAAATCTTGTATATTCTACAGTGGAGAAAAACGTAGAAATTAATGGTATTCTCATATAACTTCTATAATATATTTCGATGCATACCTTTCACATTTGGTTATCGGGTTTTAAGGCATTGATGGACATTCGATTGTTCATCGCTGTAATTAAAGCTTTAATTCTAGCACAAAACTTTATGGATCCATTACAGTCTACAAAATCTGAATGATCATTTCTGAATAATTTGAAACTATCGACGATTCCGAAAAACTGTAAAAACGTATATTATAACATTTTGTAATACCAGAGAGAAATCTGAGAAGGGCTATGTAAATATAATTAAGATGATTTTATTATGATTTTAGTTACTTAAAAGGCTACGCGATGTTCATTTTTAGATAGTATTTCGGTTTTACATGTTGTTTTACGTTTAATTTATAATTGACTTTTAAATTAAAAGCCTTTGGATTTTTAATTTCAAGTAGAGCATTGCCAATGCTTTAACAATATACCTATCAATACTTTTACAATATAGACAAATATACTATCCGGCATCTGTAAACAGAAAATCATAACAATAATAACAAAGTTTGTATTAATTTATGCACACGTTTGTATTATTAATGCAAGGATTAATACTACTAAAACCCAAATACCCTGATATCGTGTGTGTTTTGTGAAGAAGTTTCTCAAGCACTTGATAAGATGAGGAAAATCCGAAAAAAAACCAGCGTCGTTGTGGAATTACAATGTGCGGAACTGACTTCTGCTTCCGTAACTCCAAATTTGTCCCACATAGAGCGATTCCATGATGCGCTATCTGATGCAGCTGCATCAACTTTAAAGTCTGATTTCTCTGTAAGAATGATACACTCCATAACAAGTTGGTGCAAGACTGTACTTCCAGATGCACTTCCTGAACTAAGGAAGCATCCCAATGTTTAAACCCATTTGCCTTTAAAAGGTTGAAACATAAAAACCAGTGCGTAGTCTCCTTTTCTTTAGCCTAGTGTTTTGGAGTATATTTCCCCAAATTAGTAAAACCTTCAACTTTAAGATTGAAAGCGAGCTTAGAAACTTTTATTTCGTCTAACAATAAAACCTGTAATAAATATGTAACATTCAAATACAATCAGTAAAAAAATGTTTCATTACATAACGTTAAGGATGTTAGTAATTAAGCAGACTTACCACGCACAACAAACGACTCCATTTTCACACTTTTTTCTTTTAAAAGTTTAAAAATATTTTCCTGGAAATCATAGTATCCTTTTATCGCTTTAATATATCGATTTAATGTATTTATACATGGTAGAGTAAGTACTTCTGAGATAATTATACGTTTTTTTGCTTTTAATTCACTACAATAAGCATTCATACACCCATTGGGTGGTATATCTCATGTCTTTAATGTTCTTTACTTTGGATGCTGCAAAGCATGCTTGTACAGATAGTTGTTCATTAACAGGTAGTTTCGATACAGCTTCTTCCACTGCTTGTGTACTTGTTCGAGTGCATTCGGTCCTTAAACTTTCTACTTCCTTTTTCAATCGTAGTAGCTCTAAAAAAAAATTGAACTAACTAAATAGTACAAGTGCTAAGCACAATAGGATGGTCTATTTTTACTCTTAAAAAAAATATAGATTGGAATCATTCCGAGGGATGCCGTAGAAAAAATTCGAAAGTTGAGAAACATGGACCACTTTAAAGCACATGTTCCCTGTCAATATATAGAATACTCATATTGGATAATGTTTACCTTCTTCCGAAGTCTAGCATTTTTCTCATACATATTTTTATATCGCGTAAAATTTTGCTTTGTTTTGATAATCTGTGCATTGGTGTTGGCCTCATTGACTTTCTTACACAATTTTTGTGTTTAACACACGAAGCACATCTTTCACGTTGTACACCACGTACTGTGCAATCTTTCGAAATATATCCAAGACAGCTTTCAATACTAAAAAATGTAAAATAAATAATGTTACATTTATCGGATTTTCATTATATGTTTCAATCAATGCCAGGATTCTTATTCTTGAAAATAAACGTATACATAAAACTAGAGAAATACTATAGTATGTCACATAAACTATAGTATTTCCCTAGTTTTTCGTATATGTTTCTTTTCAAGAATAGAGGTCCAGATCGCATAAAAGAATAATGAAATAAAATTGAAAGAAATGAATGTCATATACATGGTGCTAATTACATAAATATGAACAAATACATACCGAGTTTCACTGACGACTTTATGGATAAATATTTGAAACTTTTTGAAGAAGATTCTGGATGTCGTTTATATGTTCAATTTTCCCACTAGGAAAATTTATTTCTGTCTCTAATAAAAATCTGCAATGATTATGTACATTAAAATGTGACAGGATGTGATACACAATGTATAGTATAATCTTATAGTGTGACTGGATAGATACTTACACAAAATGTCATATTTTTCTCTAATAAAACACGTCGTATGCAGTAAGTCAAGTCTTCCGACCGCAAGTCCATTACTCATTCTTCTTTAATGATGGAAAGTACCTCGATGGAAGGGTAAGCTTTTTTAAATCAGCGATTACTTCAGCCCATGTTTGCAAGTCTTCGTTATCTCTGTTTGGTGGACAACTTTGTTCGTTATGTGTGACATAATTGTGCAACACAGATTCATCAGTAGTAACAGAACAATGAACAACTACTTTGTAGGAGATCCACAACACTCATCTCTCTATTTGTTCCATCGTTGTTCCCTTCATTTTTCTTCGTATATAGGGTTTATATGACAAAAATTGTCTGAACCGAATTTCTCTGGTAGAAAAATAGACGAAATAACATATTCCTTCAACAATGGTTTTTTTTTGTGGTACAGCCGAACCATCTGCTATTTGGAAAACAACTTCTCTTATTATTTCTTATATTTTCCTGGAAATGCTTTTGACAGATTTAGCTATTTTTGGTGAACTCGTTAATGTCTCTTGTGCAATGCCACTCATGAGCCAATTATTAAACATCTTTTCCTACATAACAATCAAATCATGTACATTTTCATTTAATAAAATACAATAGCATTACATACATTGACTTTCAGACAACTTACTGTATCTCTATAATTATAAAAAATACTATACTTACTATGCAAGCTTTAAAAAGACTATTTCTCTTTTTATTTTCCTTACACGAACGAATTCAGCAAAACATCTTTGCAATTTCCAAAGATCGTTCCAAAGAATTTCTAAACTATTCTGATAGTTCAAATTATTATGATTTATTTAGATTGAAAATATATAGAATTATATTATTTTATATTATCGTAGTTCTTACATGTACTGGATCTATGAAGTATTAAACTCGAAAAATAAGATATTATCCTTCTATGAATGTGTTCAAGCATGTTTTTATGTGACCTTCTAGATCAGCAAGAAAGACGGAGCTCTGCTAAGAATAGTTTCGTGTTGATATAAAAACAAGCATTGGAATTTCACGGGTAACCCAATTAAATGTAATCATAAAAGTTCACTATTATATCATAAGACAATCAATCATGGCTGCAGTCTTTTGTGCACGATTTCTTCACTCCAGCAGTATGGAAAAGAAAACTCCAAACAACTCCGAGCATTTAAAGATCAATATTTCAATTTAGACTGATTTAGGAAACATTCCGCCTTCTCAAAAATAATTCAACACGTCCATTCTGCTTGGGCACCGACGACGGAATCCATCTCTTACTTCGTGATTCGCACAAACCTTCGTGGCACAAGTAATTAAAGTGAGGTTAATATTGCAAATGGCGTCCAAATTAACAAGTTATTCCGTCAGCGGACTCCCTCCCAATTCGACGCACGAAACGGTTCCACTATTTTTTTACAGAGTTGAGTTTCCTTTTCTCTTACTTCGTGGGCGGGAGCCATTAACCAAAGAAAAAGAAGAAGAAGAGGATGTGTGGGATAATCCGCACGGCGTGCGCGCACCATATATACAATAATATCACTGTGCGGGCATTTTGTTATCTGAGTAAGTATACATATATATGGTATGAGTATATATGGTAAATGTGTTATAAATATAAATGATTTAAATATAATAAAATAAAATATATCTCAGTATTCACAATTATTTCTTCCTTCCTCCCCCCCCCCTCTCTCTTCATTCTTTCCTTTTTTTCTTCCTCCCTTCTTTCCTTCCTTCCTTCTTTCCTTCCTTCCTCTCTCCCTTTCTTCCTTCCTCTCTTCCTTCCTCCCTTCCTTCCTCCTTTGCTCCCTCCCGCCCTCCCTTCCTCCTTTCCTTCCTTTCTTCCTTTCTTTTTTCCTTTATTTTGTTTACTAATTCATTCCTTCCTTCCTTCCTTCTTCGCGGTATCACATTACGCGCGCATGATTACGTGCCGATTGCGTTCGTATTAGGCGTTCAGTAGAATAAAAATAATTCGGTAAAATAAATATAATTAATTTGGTAGAATAAAAAATATTTTTGCGTGTGAGAAGAATTGCGAAAAGGAGTCGCATTTCCAGTCAGAAATGGAATCGACATCAAATCAATATCAATCACCATCGAACTCATCAAATTCGATTTTTGCGTCGACAGTTGCGCGATTCAGACGTTCTACTCTTAATCTCTTTGCGCCAATTCTCCTTTCAATCTCTCTGCTTCAGTTTAGTTTTGCTCCAATTTTGCTCCAATTTAATTTACTTTTGCGTTACTCATTATTGGGAAAGATTCCAAAATTTGTTTGCCTTCCGTTCGCGGAGTGGCTTCCTCCTCCTTTAAAAGCTCCAATTCTAAAGATTATGCCCGTGTTGTTTATTCGCTGGCAATGAAAAAGAATTTTTCGAACAAGGACTCTTGTAAAATTAGTGAAATCAAATTCTACTTCGAATGTTGACCAGATTGTTTTCGTCACTGAAGAAGATTTACTGAAAATCATATATAATCGCAAAGGGGATAATGGGAAACCATTTGGGAAACCATTGGAAAATGGCAAGAACAAGACAATAACGATTGTTCAGACTGATGTCAATGAAATGACTATTGAAAACTTTTCAGAGGATAATCTTCCTTTTGAAAATGCAAAACGAAATCGACCCTGTTGGATTCGACTGACTCTCCTCAATTGGATATTCGCCTTCCTGCTGCATCCGCAGTTGATCATACATACTATCAATGTAACTTCTTAACCTGTGCATGGTGAGTCATTGCACGCATCTTTTTCATCATCCAATATGGCGTTGCATAGCGTGCCTTCTTCTTAAGATTTAATGAACGTCGAAACATTTGAAAATCGTCTAACTTTATCCTCATCAAGAAAGAGATCCAATGATGATCATGTTAACATATCCTCTAAGAAATTAGAACTTTCAAAGCATAATTCAACTACTCGCTCTGTTGGCAATCCTCAGGTAATAAATATTAAACATGAATATAAATATGCTCCCTCTGACCTTCCTTCTTTTGTGGTGCATGTTCATGCTGAGGGAGATAAGTCCTTATACCTTCTTCATATGAATAAACTTTTGTTTCAGATCGCGCATAATGATATTATTGAAGTTCACAAAATTAGTAAAGGAAATGTTATGGCTGAAATGTATTCTGCGCATACTGTTAATAACTTGATTAAAAATCCTCTTTTATCTACATATAATTTGAAGGCTTTTATTCCATCCTTTCGTACTAATAGATCTGGAATTATTAAAGATATCCCTTTAGATTGAGATATCGATTTTATTAAGAAGCACGTTGAATTCTTTTGCAAAATTTTAGAGGTACATAAATTAAATCACAGAGTTCTAGACAATGAAAAGCCTACTTCTATTCCATCAAAAACAATTAAATTAATTTTTGCCGGACAAGTCCTTCCTAAACATTTGTCTATTTTTAAAATAAAATAACTCAGTTTTACATTTTATTCTCAACATTCGCATCTGTTATAAATGTTTCAGGCGTGCACATATTAGTGCCTCTTGGTTAACTAACTGCCTAAAGATTTTGCGAGATGCATTTATTGTAGAGATGAATCTCATAAGGAAAATGCTATCTACAAACTAAAGGATGGTCCTACAGGGTGCGGCAGAGAAACTTACTTTTTTTAAAGGTTAATAAAAACGAAACTATTGCAGATATCGGTATAATTCTTTTTTCCTGTTACAGATCACCTCATCAAATTTTTTTTCATGCACTTTTGAAAATTACATCTATCAAATGACGGCCGCCGTTGTCTATGCACTGATTGAGTCGATTTCTGAAGTTTTGCGTCACTCTCTGAAGCATGTCCACCGATATTTCGGCGATGGCGTTCCGAATGTTTGTCTTCAGGTGAGCTAGGGTCTCAGGTCGATCGTTGTAAACAATAGACTTCAAATAACCTCATAGGAAGAATGAAGCGCGCTCGAAAGGCACGTTGAGTGGCGACAATGGAGCGACCATTACCAAAGTATGCCTCGACGGCAAACGCGCGATGCTCTCTTGTCCAAAGCATGATCGAGACTGGCTGTGGGGGGAACAAAAATTGAGGACCTATCCTTTCGGACGCACCCCCTCCCAGATTCCTACCTTCACCCCCTTGCCGTTTGGCGCGTTTTTCAAAAAAGTAAGTTTCTCTGTCGCACCCTATAGAAACTGGAGATGATCAGCTGCCTACTTCTTATCATTGCCCCATTGTCATCAGACAAAAATCTATTGTGGCTTCAGTGGCTACTGAAAATATCTCACGTTTTAATGCCAAAAAGAAGATTCTTCAAGAAAATCATAATGGCTCTCAAAGAAATGATCCACATTTTGACTTTGTTATTTTCCCGCTTTGAAGAAATGATACTCAAAAGGATTCTGTTAATTGGAGTCATCCCAAGATTCAGGGTTCTCAACTCTTGCAGTTCCGATAGAGGTCCGCCTGTCAACCACTCATACCGTTCTGCTTTTATGGGACATTCAAATTCATCCGAATCCCCAGCCACTAGATCCTCTCCTACTGCCAGCTTTAAACATAGTAAAAATTCTGATTCAAGCTCTCAATCTACACATCATAATAAGGAGGTGACCAATAGAAATGTCTTTTACCACAATGCCAGAACTGATAATTTCTCTGATAACGGTGTCTTCCTAATTACTCAGCTTGTAACTCTAACTACAATTCTCTATTCACTTTTAATCAAATCTGCAACAAACTTTTTTCTTTTCTTTCATCCTTCTTGAATAATTCTTTGCCAGGAGATGTTGAACTTAATAAGGTCTTCATGGTCCTTAAATTTCTTTTACAAAATGTTAATTTATTAAATTGTTTTGTTTTGTAATATTTTCTGATTTTTCTCCTAACTTTCATGATCTCGAATCTGCTGTCCTCTTCTTTGTTGGAAAATAATCTTTCTAATACTATTAATGATTAATTTATCCAATTTTTTAAATCAGTCTCCGCTTTCTATTTTACAATGGAATTGCAGGGGTTTCCGCAATAAACTTTCTTTTATTTCAGATCTTTCACACATTGATATCTTTTATAGAAATCATTGTTATTTCTTCATATATTTATCAATCTTCCTGGATTTAATGTTTTCAAGAAGAATGTTTTTAAGTTCGAACCAAAGAGGTATTTGCATGTATATCAGACAAAATCTTGTTTTTGAACCCTTAGACACTTCCCTAATCTCTCATCCCTCTGTTGAAATACAGGGTATCAAAATCCGTATCAATTTGAAGTCTGTTTTTTTTTTTACATTCTTAATATTTATAAACATCCAAATCAGAAAGAAGACTTCTTCAAATATTTTTAAAAAGACATTTAACCTATTCGATAAAGACTCTTTTGTTCTTCTTGTAGATGACTTTAATGCGCATTATCAGACTGTGGAACCAATGATGGTCCGAGTTCGCTCTTGGCCGGGATTGTTGAGGATTTTGACTTCACTCTTCTTAATGATGGTTCTGCCATTTTTCTTTCATCGCCGGAATGTAACTTGTCAATTATCGATTTAGTCATTGCCTCTCCTAGTTTGGCTTTATTGAACTCTTACACTTATAATGATTCAGGTGGGAGCGACCATTTTTCTATTGTTAATAAAATTGTTGATAAAATTGAATTTGGTCTCAAATTTACATATATATAGATTTTATCTCAACAAATCTGAATTTGATAGTCTCGAGTGCCGTTTATATAACTCTAATTTTTCTTCAGCTATTAACCCTCTCGATAATCCTTATAAAGCTTATGATGAGTTCACTCGTTTCATC